AAAACCAAACAAACAAAACAAAAAAGAAAAAAAAAAAACAGACAAAAGCCTAAAAAAGTAACAAACAAAATTTTGGACATTCAATGCACGCTTCTTCTTCTGACCTCATTTCCTCATATATAAATTGATATTACGTCTGATATTGTATTTTGCAAAACAAACGTCCTTCACCCCGCGTATAATAGATCGACTCATTCACACACGCGCATGCGCGCTCACGAACACACACACACACACACACACACACACACACACACACACACACACATGGAGTTTTAGTATTACTGGGACACACACAAAATCAGCCGACCATTTTTAATGTACACATATCCACCATTTTGTGTTTCACGTCCTGACACCTACTTACACACAATAGAGCTCAAACACAAAACATTTTCCCACCTAAATGGTTGAAACTATAATATAATGTAAAATTAACTCGATATATATATATATATATATATATATATATATATATATATATATATATATATATATATATATTCTATTTCAAAGTGAGTAATCTAGCTTATTCAAATTGTAAACAGAGGAAATCTATTTATTTTTAAATTATTGAATACTTGTCCCTAAGGAATATATAATTTGAAATGAAGCATTTATTTAATAAATATATAAACCAAACCGTTTGCACTTGAAACTACAATTTTCCCCCCACCCCCGGCATAAATAAATGATTATCTATTAAAAATTATGTATTAAAATTTTTATTAATTTTAATAATGTCGGTTTTTCAATACATAAAAGCAATATTTTAATTCAATAATGTCATTTAAAATACTGTATATTATTCTGTTCAGCTGTCAAAAAAATGAGGACAATTTTAGACATAGCAAAATATTTAACACATTAGTAAAGGAGAATTTACCCCAATATTATTTGAATTTAATTATCACATATTATTTGATTGGGGACTTGTCTGTATAAACAAGTTTGATTAAACTTGATGCCTTATTCACATAAAATAAGTTTTCTGGAAATAAATGCAAACATTTATTTTACGGACTTTGAAAGTAAGTATTAGTTACTTACATTCAAAGTTTATAAATGTGTACACGTACACCAGTTATAGTTTAGTGAACACACATCTATTATATACTGAGACAGTTAAGAATTTAGCCCACTGCCCACGGTTTAAAAATTTAGTCGTTTGTTTCAAAAAGTGGTATTTGCATATTCTAGAACAATGTGTGAATTTTGCGAATATTCAGGGCTTGATTTTAAAAAACGATATACTTAACCTGACTGTAGTGTTTATTGGTTAACTGTAGTCAGTGTGAACCGCACTAGGTGCCTCACTAATTTGACCTTAGGCCAAACTGATCTAAATATAAATCTCAATTCATTATGGAAAAGTAATTAAGTTTGGTATTTTTTTGTGTTTTATAAACTAAACATAATTAAATCGAATTCAGCCAGTGATATATTTGTCATTTACGCGCGTGCGCACTCACACGCACACACACATTATCTCTTCATCACATACACACACGCACACACAGAGTTTCTCTCTCTTATACACACACACTCGCTGAATCTAGCGCATTCTCTCTGTTACAGACACTTTCGCAGACATTGTACGCAAGCGTTTGCGCGCGTGTGTATATACACACATACTCTCACTCGTACAAACACACACACTATCTCTGTTGCATACTTTCACACTTCTTTCTCACGCACTCACTCACTATCATGTATTCACACTTTCCTTTTTTTCTTTCACGCACATATTCTCTCTCTCTTTTTCACGCTCATCCCGAAATTCACAAAAGCCTAAACTAAACACACACGCAGATACACACGCCTATGTACACGTTCATTTATCACACATATCAACGGACAACGAGTTTACTTAAAACACATATAAGTCTTTTTAAAAGCTTATATTATGTACGTATATATTTCGAAGTTATTTTATTGTAAGACTGTAAGTTTAATAGAAATTTGCCAAAAATTCAAGCCAGCCATTCGTACAATATGAAGCTCAAACGTACAGATAAAATTCATATAACATTTTTTTTAGATTTCACACCCACTTTCTGTCCAGTTTTACTTCTCTGTAACTTATGTAAGCTATTTTTTTTATATTACATACCAAATTACTGAAATATCCACACAGATAAATAAATAAATAATACACTAGTGTGCACATAAGATTACCTGAAATTATTTTGGGATTTGAATTCTTCACAAATTAAGATTCGCTACTGAATTCATTGCATTAACAAAGAAGGAAATTATGTTGAAAAATAATTTTTGCGTAAAATAAACCCTTTTTACCATCGTTAGGCTTACAGAATGATTGATACACTTCTTTTTCCGGGTTCAGCGGTGTGTAATTTCAATCACACCATTGGAATATAATATATATATATATATATATATATATATATATATATATATTTGAATAAAAACTGACCACTTTAAGGTTTCATGTAATAAATTATTTCACCACAGCCCTTTCAAAAGGGCTCTGAATCAT